GAGCTACGGCGGCCCCCGTCCGAGCCGGGGGGAGAGGGGCGGCTCCCTTCCACTCCTTCGCCCGAATGGGGAGCGGGAGGGCTGGCTTCACTTAACCCATTTGCGGCGGCCGGGACTGCGGCTGCTCATTCGCTGAGCCTCGGGGTCTGCGTGGAAGGACGCGGGCTGGGGGCGGGTGATACGGAGCACATGAAGCTCTTGCTTACACCCTGCAGAGCCAGGAAACATGGCCCCGGCTTTGCAGGCGCCTGTGTGCCCGTGGGGATCGATGGGAGCCCCTCTGTCCAGGACTCTTGATCGCTGAGGGCACAATTTTCTACCGTTGAGGGGTGGGAAGCCGATATAAACGAAGGTAGCTAAGTGTGACCTGTCGCGTTCAACCTGTGCTTCGAAAGCCCCCCAAAGTATAGCGACCTTTGGAAAAAAAAGATGAAAGAAGCTGGATCCTAATCTGTCCATTCTACCCTGGAACCTGAGCATCCATTCAGATCAAATGGAGCAGAGGTTGTGATAAGAATGCAGATGTTGAAAACTCATCATGGCCTAAGCTGGATGGCAAATAAGCTATGTAGGTTAGATAGTTTTTCTTTGAAAGAAAAACATTTGACTCCAAAATACAGCTCTAAACCCCCAAATGCATTTCATAACTGCATAGGCAATTAATTCAACGTTCTGGATTGGTTAAAATAGGTTTACTTAGCAAAAAACATAAGTTGATTGCTTCAAGCGGATGCAAAATGCAAAAAAATGGGTTTGTCTCAGCCTAGTTCTTTTCTTTCAAGAACTAACAGCAGCTGGATCATGGTTTTTGTATCAGGAGAACGAAGTAAAAGAAAGAAGCATTAAATATGCCCATCCCCAGCATCATTTCCTGCATTAAATTGGTATAGCTTCCCTCTCGGTGCTTTTAAGATAAAAACAAAAATCTGAGGAGATCCAGTCAACGTCTCCCATGTGTCAAGAGAAGCTTCTCATTGCACCCAGTTTTTTTTAAGGACCAGGTACATTTTGCATCCACAGGCTGTTGTCATGGGTGATTTTGGCTTCCTGCAAGTATTTTATCATATAACTTTTTCAGAGAGGATTTTGAGTTCTGATACTAGATTTCTCACCATGGTGCTACTTACACAACTCCAAATGTACAAGTCCAGATAAGTTAAATTATTGTATGAGTTCTTATATGTCTACCATAAACATATTTAATAAATGAATTTTACTTATGCTGACTGCACTCATGGGCAATTATGAATGTATTTTACATGTGCAGATGCATACACAAAGATTGCTTTCTAGCTGAATATTTTATTAATGTTAAAATAACATCATATAACGCCTAGGTATGTTGTGTCAAAGCTGGTAATTATTTGCTTTTGATGAAAAATACAGTCTGTGGATTTTAGTAGGTTCACCACTTTTAACAGATAACATGCATTTGCACTAATTCATCTTGGGCATTGGAGGTATGCAGAACAGTGGTTTTTCCTCTTGATTATCTGAACAAACGCATTGTTTAGCAAATGTGTGAGGAATATAACAATAATAAAGGATAGAGAAATATACAATGACATCCACATAACATTTCCATTATTTTTCCTATACATTTTATGCTGCTTCTGACTCCTTCCAAACCCTTTGCTTAGTAAGGTAAAGGAAACATATTACATAAGCGAATCAAATACAACATGCACAGCAAAACTATATTTGTTTTAGAAGCTGAATGCTGGTATCATGCATAATGCAATTACACTATGCAATAAGAGGAGAAAGAGCAAGAAAATTGAATGAATTTAATCCAATGAACTTCTATGCCTAAAACTAAACTTGATTTCATTTCTCCAGTCCTAGCCCTTTATCAGCACATCACACTAGTTGTCCATCAGTTTAGATCAGTGCTTTTCAAACTTGGCAAGTTTAAGATGTGTGGACTTCAACTCCCAGAATTCCTCAGCCAGCATGATGGTTTAAAAGGGGACTAGGCAATTAACGTTAGTTTTGAAAACTGCTTCTTCAAAATTGCAAGCAATAAATCTTAAATTCCAGCTAGGGGTATCTAATGTAGTTCCCATGTGTGAGAGCCTGTGGCCCAATTCACTCATAGGACTACTTATGCTCATTTGTTCCAATAAAACTATGTAGAAGAAGGGGTAGTGGTATGTTTGAAGCAGAAAATCTGACCGGTTTTGATCCGCAAACAAACCATGACATTCTAAAAGTTTTGCTGAGCTGTTTTGGGTCAACCATGGTTTGCCAGAAACAAACATTGGAGCATTTTGCTTCTTCAGTTTTGGCCAAAACAAAATCTCGAGAGATTCCAGAGTCATTTTATGGGGCAAGTAGGGCAAAGCTGGTGCACATCTCCCCCTCTCTCCTCTTCCCCGGCATGCCCTGGGTGCTGTGTGCCATCTTCCTAGTATCTTCTCTTTCTCCCCTGCTTCCTCTCAGCAGCCATTCCCATGTCAAGCAGTCTTGTTTCATTCTGTAGACAGATCAAAACCCAAAGCACATATTTTGGGTTGGACTTGGACCACCCAAAACCAGCTGTGGCATAGAACAGTTTATGTGTAGAATATTTTATATATCCCTAATAAGGAGGGTTTTGGTAAGTTTTTTTAACATGGGGAAGGTAGCTATCCAATTTCTACAAAATGTTTCAGAGAGTGGGTGCCACAACAGAAGGCACGCTACCATGGCAATTAGATTTTTAAAAAACTTTTTAGGTAAAGAAAATTGTATGATTGGAAAAAGGATCGTAGCTTAGTAGTAGAGCAGTATGTGCAAGGTCCCAGATTAGATCCCTAATATTTCCTGTAAAAAGGGTCAGATAGCAGGAAATGGAAAGAAAAACCTTTGCCTGATATGCTGAATTGCTGTTCTGGTCAGAGTAGAGAAAATACTGATTCAGATAGACAAATATTTGCAGTAAGTATACATGGTAGAGGGGTGATTAATGGAATATATCCTGTCCACGTGAGCAGTCATAAGATCTTTTAACACAGATTGCTTTTGTTGACATAATCAGAGTACTTTGAGAATGGAAGTCTTACTCCATGCTATTAGCTAAGGAGCACTATGGATGCAGTATTTAAAATCAGGGTCAGAGAGAAGGCTTTGTGAATATGTTATAGGGCTTGTTTTGTTTTGTTTTTTTCACTTTGGGGAAGAAAAGGGTTCCAATGTTTGGTCCAGAGGTCTAGTATGTAATACTCTGTACCAACAACCCATCCGCAGCTGCCACATTACATAAGGCAGATATTCAGACAAAACTGTTATTTCACAGTCCAAGTAAACAGAAGCTTATGTTGGAAAAGCAAACGAAGAAAAACCTACTTAGGAATGCAGTTGGAAACCACTACAGAATGTAAGTAAGTTTCCAAACAACAAAACATTATGATACAGCTAGATTAAATGCCTTTAAAAAAGGACCATCCCCTTGAACTTCTATGTATCCCTCCACTTTGTTGACCCACCCAGCAAAGGGTCCTGAGATGGCTGCATTCTTCTATCAGTGTCTGTGCAGGTAGCTTCTGTAATAGTAGCAGCAGCTTGGTTCTGCAAAAAGTTCAACTTTCCACAGCATCCTCTCCATAGTATTCCACCAAGATAGGCTAAGAAATTAAAGTGATAGGCAGATCCCAAAGCAACTGCTTGATGCAAATAGTTCAGAGGCAGCCTTAAAGATGAGTCCTGCCAGGCAAAGGTGCTCTGATTACTGCTGTGGGATGCCAGGGGTCAGCCTTTATAACATGGATCTAATTATTCTGTGTTATCCCTAATGACACAAAACTGCATTGAACAATATAGCTGAGGAGGGTTATTCTACTCTGCTATAAGAACTTTGTGAGTAGTTTGGCTGTGGTCCAGCTCTAGCCATAATTTAAAGGAACACAAATGTCAATATAGCACCTTTAGTGTATATATGCTACACAAAGGTTTCTTTATTATCTTTTATCTCCTTTTTTGAATAGTTTAGTACAGAATGCTTCAAGACACAATTTGCACATCCTTGGGTTAGAAAGAAAAACAAAGAAGGGATTGTTCTGGGTAGGCTCACAGAGAACACTAGAAGACTTGATTTTGTCCCACTTCTGCCATGAATGCTGAATGGATCCATGGGTACACTATCTTTTAGCCCTTCTTAATAAAATGCTATTGATGCATAATCAAAAAAGGAGGGTATAGAGTTGCATAATATTTACATTTTTGTGGGAATGCAAATTTAGAAATGTACTGCTATGCTGTGAATGGAATTATAACACTTATTATAAGAAGACAAATTGCAACCAGGAGACCCGTGTGCCTGCTCAATCTTTTGTGGATGGGCAACTGCAGGATCCTC